TCGTAATAATACTGAAATTCCCCTCTGGCTTTGAAATTAAAATGAAGAAGGGCAATTACGCAAATACTGTTAAATTACTGGGTTTTAAATGAATGAACCACGCCCAAAGGCTTACGCATATAGCCTGGAGGTTTTGGGTTTGATTGCTGGTGAAGTACTAATTGGTATTTATATTTTTTTTATTTACAAAGTAAAGAAATGTATGCGTGGCAATAAACAACCTGAATAAAAATGAGAAAATATTAGTAGTGCAAAGTCTGAGAAACGGACAAATTAATTGTGGCCAGGCGAGATTTGTCTCAATCCAGACCTCAACTCTGAAGGGCTTTAAAAATTGTGTTTTCTATAGTTTCTTTAGTATGTTTGTATGCTTGTGAAGAAGTTAAGTTGGCGCCTGGTAAATAGTACCGGTGACCACAAGGCTGGTGCTTTCCTCGCTCAACGAATAAGTATCGTAATACAGCGAGGAAATACTCCCAGTTTTAATGGTACACTGCCACAGAGACCAAACTTTTTAAATTTGTTTAAATTTTCAATCATTAATTATTATTATTAGTATTTAGGTTAAGAATATTGTAAATACTGTATATTTGTGTGTAGACTCTTTCTTAAGAGAATTAAAAATAATTCGAAGGCTAAATTATACACAGACATCCACAGACAGACATTGGTACAGACATTATAATATAGTTGGTATCGAAGACGTGGCTGGCAAAGAAGGCCGATATTTGAACACCCGCGAACCTCTTTCAATTCGTCTCACAAACTATGATATAGCAAAGTGATAAAAATACAATAAAAACGGCACAAGAAAGTGATTCAACTCGGAACAAACAATTTTATTACAAAGCCACCCTAATATTTGCAAATATCATTGATTTGTAATAAACCTTGAACTTAGGCATGCAATTTCTTTGGCGTATTAAACTATGAACAACTTATATGATCGTAAAATAAAATTAATAAAAGTGTTTTATTATTCCATATTTTATTATTATAACAGTTGTTTGGCTTTTGATGTTGAGAGCGTGGGTTTGAATGCCGGCTGTATAAAGGAATTCTCTTTTCACAATTTACACATACTGGCATTGACTTATTCTAACACGACGCTGTGTTGTTTCTAAGGGTGCGTACAGACTATTAAACATGTTATATAACTTGTGTTTTATAACACGTCCACAGTATGTAACCTTGTTATTCAACATTATAACATAAAACAATACTGTACACATTAGAATAACAATGCAATATAACAATGTTATATAACCGTTGTCGTTTGTCGTTCTCCAGTAGGGATGTGACATTCTGCATAAAAAATAGATTTTTTATTAATCGATTTATAAATATGGCAACCAAGAGGCCATAAAAGAAACAGAGGTAGGCAATTTAAAAGGTGGGCCGATGAAATCATGGAAATGGCAGGAAAGACTAAGACCTGGACGAGATTGGTATACAATAAGGAAAAATGGAGGACAATGGGGGAGGCCTTTGCCCGTAGGCACACAGAATCAGTTATCGTAGATTAAGAAAAATAACAGTTATAATGTATATATTTAGTATTTCTGATATAAGGCTGTAAATAAATAATAAATAATCGATTTTTTCCTAATTTTTGAATTAATTTCAAAATAATCACCCTAAATATCTTATTTTCATGGTTTCTTTTACTGAAAAATAAACAATAGAAATTATAAACACAAATTAACGTTTAAGAATAATCAAAATCGAAATTAACTTAATCTCGTTTTGATAGATTTTAGGTGAAATTTGATAAATGCTTAGTTATGCCTTTTCAGTAGCAAATTGCAGTATTTTTGATGTCTTTTTAATTGTATGTTTTCTTGTGCTGCTGAATAAATTTATTTTACTTTTAAATTATAGTGTTCCATTCAAACTTGAGTCTTTGTACCTAAAATTAACTAGTTTTATCATCCTTTCGATGTTTTACAAAAAAAAACATCAATGCATCGAGTATATCAATACATCTTCAAAGAATCGTATTCAAAGTATCGCATTCTAAACATCGATGTATATCAAATATTCGTAATAGTTCGAGGTCCGGGTTATAAAAGACCAAACATAATGTCGGGAGGTGGCAGTGGAAAAATCGACTATGATTTATTTTCAATTATAAAAATAATCGATTATTTTAAATATAAAAATCGCGTAAAAAAATCGATTTTAATAGATTTTTTTAATAATCGATTATTTTTTCACATCCCTATTCTCCAGTGCTATCCACAATGTCGACACGAGAGGACGTTTTGCTGGCTGCGGCAGCGACTGTTGTAATTTTAAATAACAAAAGAAAAACAAAAAAACCTAGATGCTGGGTTCATATCAATAACATAACAATATAACATTGTGGTACATATCAATAACATGTTATTATAACATGTTTTATAACATTCAGTGTCCACATTATCTGAAATATGTTGTATAGCAATGTTATATAACATGTTATGTTATATAGTCTGTACGCACCGTAAGAGAGAATAAGAGATAAAAGCAAAGTATTTAACATTTTAAAATTTGATTTTGGGTAAGTGATGTAGCCGAAAAAATTGTCCTAATTTAAGCTGTTGAAATGAAATCGCTAGAAAGGCAAAGGTTAAATCGTTTACAATTTTAAATAAACCATTAATTTTTAACAACCTTGACCTCCAAAATAAAATCCATCACGAGTTCAAATCAATAAATTTTCATATTTAATTTCATACTTCCCAGTAATATTCGATGAATTGTTTATTTATTTTATTTTGTAATATGTCAACGTAAAATTGGACTATTGTGAATTTGTACTTTCTCACAAATTTTGTGAAATTATGTAAGTATTAATTTAATTAAATGTAAGATTTATTATGAAGGTTAAGAAAATTTGGCGTTGCGTCATTTTTGTCATCTGCATCTTCTACCGCATTTACCATGGATAGTGTTCAGAGGTTCGGATTAATACCTGCAGCTGAGTTTCATCATCGGACGTCGAGGCAGAATACGAAATTCCACCCGTATCACCTCGAAGTCCGCCGTTCCACAACTGAGCATTTTTCAAGGCAGTTTTTGCCGCGCACCACCGCTATGTGGAACCAGCTGCCCATTTCAGTATTTCCGAACCTATTCGACTTAGGGTTCTTCAAGAAATCAGCGTACCAATTCTAAAAAGGCCGGCCACGCACTCGACAGCGTTCTGCCCGTTTGTCCTCTGTTCTATAAAAAAAAAATTAATACAGTATTTGAGTGTTTTCGGATATAACTGTAAAATATAATTATATAATGAATAATACCTTAATTCTAGGATAACAATTAATAAAATACTTTAAAATATATAGCAACAACTATTTTTAATTCAATTTAATAAACTAACCAAAAATACCTCACCTCCCACATAGAAAACATTTATTTTCTATAAAGGTAAGCTTTTAATTCTTCACAAAATATTTATAAATTAAATCTATTTAAATGTGTTAAATTATAAAGAAAACTGGTTTTTGCTCCATTATTTTACTCGATTGTCAACGGTAACAAAATTAATTTTCTCGTAATATGATGGAAAACTTTGCTCTAAGGCTTTTTCGTTATAAACTTTTAAACTTATAATGGACTGGATGCTTCTCATTCAATATTTACTTACATTTTTCTTAAGTAATAATGCCTAGTAAATTTATCAGTCTTAATAAGATATACATAAAAACGTGATGGCCCAGCGTAGGGCTGAACTTTGAGGTTGTTAGTTTAAATCTCGACTATGCTCCAATAGAAAGGGGGTGCATTGCAGAGGTTCAACTTAATAAAATGTTTTATTTTTAATCAATAATAATAAACTTTGTTCTAAATAAAATATAATAATAGGTATGTCATAAACTTTATTCATGACAGAAATATTGTTGTGACCAAATTGTTCTAACGCTAGTGTCCACACAGGGGACCCCCTGTGTAACAAGATTATATTATATTATAGATTACAATTATTCCGTGATACATGGTGAATGTTTAAAACCATTTTTGAAGCAATACTTCTTTTGGCGCGTTAGGGAAAAATGATGAGAGTAAATTTTTACGATGCGCGAGCACACCTGTAACAAAAAACCGACACCCGTACACCGTCACAAAAAACCGACACCCGTACACCGTCACAAAAAACCGACACCCGTACACCGTCACAAAAAACCGACACCTTGAATTTTTTTTTTGTGATAATTAAAAAACCTTATTTAACTAGATAATGCGTTATCATAAAACTTTGAATGTATTATATATACCTTTTTTCTATTGCTAGTGTTGTTTTTTCTACAAACGTAGAGTAAGGCGAAAGATAAAAGTTTTAAAAAGATTTCATCTTGTTAGGTCAAAGAAGTATAACTTCTAACGCGTGTACATAGGTACATACACGTTTTTTTTAAGTAATAGGAGCCTTAGTGGTACATCTAATCAATCAAAAGTCCTCTAAGACCTTAAGTATGAGTATATGAAAGGGTCGGTGTGCGTATAATACACTTTGTATTTGAGAGTGTGGATGAGAGTTGTTATAAGCTCAGAGTCAAGTCAAAACATGTTGTGTCGAAGGAAAAACCGTCAAACTTAGAGTAAGATTGAGCACTCAGTACAACTTCTGTATATGAATTTTAATATAATTATGACATACGGGACAAAGCGTTACCTCTGAATCTGAGAATAATGTTTAAGACGGCATGAATTACTTTTAATAATAAATATATGTCATACATTTTGTAATCAGGAGATAATATATAATCTAATAGATCGTTCAATTTCCTTAACAGCCTCTCAAAATCAAATCAAATTTTCGTAATGCTAAATTCGATTACACAGCAAAGGGATAAATTGAATTGTGTTTACATTATAATTCGCTGTAATCATTTTGAAAATTTTCACTGAATCGTTAGTATGAAACCTTAGTAGTACCTACATATGAAAATAAATTCCATTGAACTATTTCAAACTTAATAATAATGATATTATATTAAACGCCTTTGTGGCTCAATATGCACACCGCGGAGGTCCTAGACTCGGTTCCAGGTAAACAAAAATTGTTCCTGGTTGAAATCCACTTTTGTGTCTTTTAAATAACAGAACTACAGAACTAGCGAACTAGCGAACTGTGGAATCGTTTCCCGGTGGGAACCTTTCCTGGGAGATACGACCTTCATTTGTTTCAGACAGTGCACGCACTAAAATGGGTGCCCATGGGCTGCGATGACTGCCCTTTATGGGCCCCTCGTAGGTTTCTATCCTTTAAAAAAACTTATTTATCTGTATATAAGAGTTAATCAGATAATTCGATCAAAACTTTCCAAATTCCGTCTGCAAAACCCAACCTAGGAATTCAGGCATCTTTCAAATTCTTCTCGATTATAACGGATTAAACAGTACTTATCCGGAGCTGGATATTCGGTAGTGGGCTGATTATTTTTAAAGAAAGCATTGATGAGTACCTATCTCATACCTAATCCGCTGTTTTTCTGGTAATTTTGTTTCTGCTTAACAAAAAGTGCTAACTTCTGCTTGTAACATATACTATAGATATAGTGTTATGAATGATGTGGTAAACTTTAATACAAAAAATAGACGATTCCCTTGCTTTACAAGAATCCTAGTCAGCCAGACTACCACATAAAAGTAATCTCTAAATATATAAAATTCTCGTGTCACAATGTCCGTTCCCATACTCCTACGAAACGGCTCGACCGATTCCGAAATTATGAAATTATTTATTATTAATAAGACCGATTATGATTTTTTTATGCATATTCAGTAAATCTGAGAATCGGCTACTATCTATATTTCAAACCCTTAATTTTCACCCCTCTAGGATTATACCCCTATTTTTTAATATAGTAATTTTTATTGAACTAAAAAAATGTTTCCTAGAAATAATATACATGGCAAAACAACGTTTGCCGGGTTAGCTAGTAATTTAATAATATAATTGGGGTCTTTTATTAGGGGATTAGGGGAATTACCGCGAAGTTAATATTTGCAATATTCGGCTGGAGTTTTCCTATCAGACAGGCTGTATTATTTGGGTCTAAGTCATGTCGGTTTCCTCACGTTTTCCCTTGCTGTTTAAACAACATTAAGTTTAATATATTAACTCATCTATATACAATTAGGCGGTCCGAAAGAAAAACTACGGTGTCAAAGACCCCAATTATATTAGACTTGGTAACTTGATAACGCTGTATAGAAAGGAAAAACGATGGATAATCTAAGGAAATGTAGCGAAAACTTTGTATTTCGTATGAAGACAATGGGTGGAAAAATATATTTGAGTGTCAAATTCTTGAGACAACAAAAGACGCGATTGTGTCTTGTGAAATATATTTCTCCTCTGATCTGTGGTTTTTATATGGAATTCAAAATGTCTTTATAGATAATTATACTAAAACATTAAATACAAAGTGTTATCATATAGCGCATGAAAATATAATATTTTTAAGGCTGGTCTTACCAGGTCAAAATAATTATTTTAATAAGTTTCTCCGAAAATCACCATAATGGATGCGTATCTGTTAGGCCTATTTTGCACTATGACTTTATCTCTAGTTAAACTCAAGGTCAGTAAGTTTAGCTTTGACTAAAACCTAAATTTAAATAATAATAAAAATAATCCTATATGAGTTTTGCCTCAGACTTCATCAGTTTCATTGATAATTTTATTTTATAGATGTAGGTCAGCCTTCTGTGCCTGACACATGGCATTGATTTGGGTCTTAGGCACGCCGGTTTCCTTACGAAGGCCAACCTTCACCGTATAAGTTAATTAAGCACATAGATAGAACGGGCATGAGGCTCACTTCATGTTAAATGATACCTCATGGACATAGCCAGAAGGCTCGCAAGTGCGTTGCCGGTATTTTAAGAATAGCCACGCTCTTTTCTTGAAGCCCAGTCCCAATTGGTGCACTATTGGGATTTGAATGCACCACCAGAGAGTTGAAGGTCGCACACTCAAGCCAAGATTTTTTTTTTTAATGTAACAAGAGGCAAAAGGGCAGGAGACGATATTCGACTCATTACAGCATCCTTACTCAAGCGGGGTGTCGAGTTTGTTTTAAAAGGGGGTCGCAGTCTGTTGAAAATTAATAAATACAAACATACAAGGTTAAAAAGATACGTTAAAAATAGCGCGCTATGTACATATTATAATTTTACAGTGACGGGGTCGCAAGACTGTTCTACTTAACTTTTTGGCTTTTTCGTGGGTCGCAACATAAAAATGGTTGAGCGATAGCGCTACAGTATTAGGCAAGCTGCAAAAAAATTGTTCGCTCAGATAAGTAATCACTTAGTAGCACTCCTTACCATAGTGAAATAAATATTTGAATTTATAGTTTTATTCAATTCCTAATGGATATCAATAACCGAATATTTCTTAACACACACTTATCACTTCAATTAAATAACATAATAATATAGTAATAAAAGCCGGTTGAATTTCCAATCATTACAAAAGTAGAATATACAACTTAGATTTGTTCTATACATTTTTTACTGTTATCCTAACATTTTCTTCCTTCAGTACCATTTATCGCAACCCCTTCATGGGTAAAGGCCTCCTACAACGTTTTCTAAAAGTGTCTATCCATGGCTTTCTTTCTCCTTATATAACATAGTGTATAATATAAAACAATATCATTTAGTAGATTCTCATCTTAGTTATAATTTTTTAGATACTTCAAGAGACGTCACAGACACGACGCGCCGTCCACAACCCCTTTCGTCTCGGATATCAGCAGGTAAGGAAGGTTTTAATATTGACAAAGGTAATTTGATTTCTTTAGGCGTCTGTGGGTAAATTTTTACGAAAACGTCACGAAGATGTGCAGCGTTTTTGTTGAAGAAAATGGAGAGAGCGATTGAGACCGATTGAGAGAGAGTGCGAAGGGCGAATTACCTTTTAGAAATTCTATTTTTAAAATAAAAATTTCGTAAAGAGAATTTATGAAATATTAGTATTTTATATTTTATGCAAAATAATTAATTGAAATCTCAAATGACGAATTGTAAATTAAAATTTCACGTGTTTTTATTACCGTAGAAATAAATTTAATTTTTTTTATTTATAACTTGTATTAATTTTAATATTTTAATGACAATTAAATTCATTAAATTCCTAACATATTATCTTCCTTTTTCCCACCCTCTAAGTCTCGGAAATCTAAAGTTTTAGATTTGTATAAATATGAACAAGAGTGTAACAGCAAATCGATATATATTTCAGCTGTACTGAAACACATTGAAATGTAAACGGTTACTTAAGGCATATTTTAGTGAAAAGTTGAATACAGAATAAGTAAAGAGGTGTTCTGAGAATCATAAATCAGTAATTACATTATAATGTAATTTCGGTCCATTTTCTGATTGCTTATACTAATAATGACTTCAAAGGAAAGGTCACATTCAGCCGAGCCAATGACTAAAAGTTCTGGTCCACAGCTTTAAAACATTTTCAGAGACAAATGTGCAAATAAGTAATGGTATACCGCAAGGCTCGTAAATTTATGTACATATATATACATATTAGACCACAGATATTTGTATGTTACTATTACTTTTCTTTACAGAACAGACGCCGTCGGCTTTCGGCAGGAATTTTCTTACGATGTTTTTATTCACCACAAGAAAAAGTTGATGATCCGATCAATTGTTTCACAGCTGGAATTTGAAATTATCACATAGGCGTCATGTAAATTCCGAATATCTAGAAGATTGATGCATGTTTGTCAACTGTCGATATTGAGAGACAAAGTTTAAAACTTTGTGATTGATTATATTGGCAATCCCTTCATTTACATTTTATTACTTCGTATATACCGGGATCGCTAAAACTTTGCTCTTTAGATAATGGACAGTAACTAGAAAACCGATAAAGCGCCTTAATTTTGAATAGTAGGTAAATGGCTTACTATTATTTAATGTAAAATATTTAAAGATAAATTTTTGTAGTTCAAATTCTTTAGGCGCATGAGGGTAATTTTTTTACGGATGAAACGCAAATTACTGTCACGAAGATGTGCAGTGTTTTTGTCGAAGAAAAGGGAGAGAGAGATTGAGACCGATTGAGAGAGAGTGAGAGAGGGCGAACGTAGCATGAAGCAAATAGCCATGGAGCGAGAGTAGGGAGCAAGCAAGTGAAAAATACTGAGAGAGAGTGAGAGCGAACGTCGCATCATGCACAGTGCCATGCAGCGAGAGGTGGGAGGAGATATAGCGAGAAAGATTGAGATCGAGAAAAAATACACGCTATTGGTTGATGGATTCGTTTAGTAGTTACATATTAGAACTTTAGATGGCAATTCTGTCGCATAACGTCTTATGCAGTAAACGCAGATTTTTTATTTATTTATACTGTCATTAGGACAATTTTATTTATTTATATTAGTAATAAAAACATAGCATAACACAATAATAATTATATTCTCCGATAGCATCCGTATCTATGATATTTTATAGACAGGAAGGCCTCGTACAGTTGACGTGTTTCGTTGATTTTTGGATAGATAGTTTCCTCATAATAGTAAAGCACCATTAACCTTGTGGCTGCATGCAATTTTCATCCATGAGGTCGTAGGTTCGATCCCCGACTGTGTAGCAATGGACTTTTTTTATGTGCGCATTTAAGACTCGCTCGTACGGTGAAGAACGTCGTGAAGAAACCGGCTTGCCTTAGACCCAAAGAAGTCGACGGCGTGTATCGAACCTCGACCTCAGAGTCGAAAATACCACGCTTGGTATTGTAAAACTGGGTATTGTTATAAAACAGCTTTTAGCTAAAGCATACATTTTTGATTGATGCGTCCTTTGTTTAGTATAATTAACTAAATTACCAATATGGCCGACATCATAACATCATTATTCATATTGCCTCGACATTTAGAAACATATTGGATTGAATGAATGTTCGTTATGTTTCACTTTTCGTAAACTGAAATTAATACCCATTCGTTTGCGGCGAAAAATGCACATACAACTTCTCTATAATGTTCCTTTTGACCGTACTTAAAGCAAAATTTTATGTTCTGTTCTGGGGGTAGTTTAGATTTGAGTTCCCTTGACAATCATATCCTTGGAACTCCTAATCATAAAACTGAATTCTGTCACTCCTCCTTTACTGTGTTTTGGAACTCCTTACCTTTTGATTTTTTTTCCTTTCTTTTTAAAAATCATCCTTTTAAGCATTTCTCTTCTGCCTCGTAATTAGCTACTTACATATATTAATTATGACTCATCAGCCCAATCAATTAAATTTTTTTTAGATTTTAGTTGAGTTTTAGTTAGTTTTACTAGTGTTACCATTACATGAAAGTTTTTTTTGTTTATTTTTATACAATACTTTACCCTGTGTTTCTTTTTTTCTATACCTCCATACTAGGATTGCCTGGAAGCTCGCTTGTTAGCCATGCCGCTCGTTGCCTAATAACTAACCTGTTTCTAATATATATGTTTAAGTTAGCGAATTGTAAATAAATAAATAATAATCAGAACATTTGCGTTGGACCTGTGTACAGTTATAGGACGTTCTCCCATCAGCTGCGAACAGCTATACACATACATAGTAAGATCCTTAGCTTATTAACTTGTTAACTAACTAATTAATTTGTTGTACAAAGTTCACATTTGCCGGTATAAATACTGAATGTCACTAATGTATCCCAAGTTTCAGAATGGAGTGGGGCCACCGGTGGGCCCCCGGCGGAGGTAATCTTGCGGCTTCATCCCACGCCAGTCACAACATATCCAGCGCCGCAAATCACTGGCAACTTATCCATTACGGAATTGGGTAAGTCTTAGTAATAAGTTGTGTAAAGTTTCATGTCCATTACGGCTGTGAGTACAGTAAATGATTGTTTCACAGAATTTATCCCGCGGGCGATTTCAATACATGATTTCTGTTCAAATTATTCATGAATAAAAATGGAATTATTAATACTTAAAGAGAAATTCCATCCGTATCACCTCGATGTCCGCCGTTCCAAAACTGAGCGTTTTACAAGGCAGTTTTCGCCGCGCACCACCACTTTGTTAGTAGCTCACCTGATGTTAAGTGATACCGCCGCCCATGCACACTCTCAATGCCAGAGGGCTCGCGAGTGTGTTGCCCGCCTTTTAGGAATTGGTACGCTCTTTTCTTAAAGGACCCTCAGTCGAATAGGTTCGGAAATACTCCAGTGGGCAGCTGCTTCCACATAGTTGTGGTGGTTAGCAGAAAGTGCCTTAAAAATGAAATGACAGACGTCGAGGTGATACGGGTGGAAATTCGTTATCTGCCTTGACGATGATGAAACTCAGCTGCCGGTATAAATCCGAAATCCTCCGAACACTCTCCATGATAAATGCGGTAGAAGATGCTGAGAGACCCACATCTCAACGCCCAGGGATCAAATCGTATAGACTGGTCGTCAACGATCGCTCTTCGTTGAATACGGTCAAGTGGAAGGAGCTTTACTACATATGTGCCTCCTGCCATTTTCTGTTTAGCAATAGAAAGAAGGGAATTTGTGTTGTTTGATACAAAACAATTTGTCAGTTAATGAAAATGTTTTTGTTTTATGTTCCATAGTTTTTAGCATAAAAAAAGATTGACTGATTACAGACGGCAGCGCGATAGTAGTTCGCGCAGAAGAAGCGTTAATAGTAGCATTCGTTCTTCTACTATGGGTGGCAGCTATCGCTCTCTTCTTTAACCGCTGGGGCAAGATCAGGTGCGTCTATAAGCTGTACGTAGTTCTCGATTTTCTTAGTTCTGTTAATGTATATATATAATTGTACAGCACTTAACGCGACGTCAATATTTGCTGCAATTAAAACACAATAGGTAATATCCAGACTTTTCAGCAAATTTAGAGTTTAAACTCTTTGCCTTTACATAGATAGCTAGAAACATTAATAGTTTAATTATCGTATGTATAATTCCAGCGAATTCTTAAGCGAAGTCTAACCTTTTTATAAGATCAAAGAACGTATTTGTTCGCTTTATTTTAAAGGTTCAGATAACGCTAACAAAAATACCACTAAAGTTAAAATATGCCACCCTACATGGTAGATACATAAAATTACGAAGATAAGACACTCATTCATATTTTATCTTTTGTTAAAAAACGCTTTAGTATGCTTCGCTTTTATTATATTTGCGCTTTGATATATCACTGTGACTGACACTGGACTAACACAACAAACAAAAATTTTAATTCCACTATTCGTCAAAGAAAAATGGACAATGCAGTCCACAGTTTTATTGTAAAGTATTTTATACAATTTTAAGAACAGTCCAAACAACATTATTCTTTGTTAAATATTTTTGATTGTATTTTCTATACAATCAATGACGCCATGAGCATTTAGAATTTAATTTAAAGCGAAATTCGGCTAATACTGGTATGGCTAATTATGCATGCATGCATTTGGATGGTCATTTCGGATAATCAAAAGAAATTCAGCAATGCATTTAATTCTGCTGAAATCTATTAATATCATAGCGCGAAACTCTTTGATATGTTTTTAGACACAGCCTAGACCGAAGAATCTATTTAAAAAAATGTGCTAACTTGTTTGCCGTTCTTTTATGAATAATAAATATTATAATATATTCAAACTATGCTTTATAAAGTTTCTCTTTGATCACCGCTTGAAATGAACATTCTGTGAAATTGAGCAAAATTATAATATAGGTTAAATTCGTACAATTTCTTTTGGCAATTGATAAGTTCTCTTAAAAGTGTTTGTAGTTGTATTTCATCTTTGTAACTTCTAATTATTATCTATTCCACGAAAGTGTATACATAATGTTCTATTATCACCTTTTACTAAATGCCATTTATTACTTATAAATGTATATAAAAATTAAAATTGATGAATTTCATATAATTTTAAAATTGATCTCTTATTTAATTTTTTTGCACATCTATGTTTTTTTAATTCAGAAAATGATCAAATACACACTAATTTGAAGTTTATACACTGTATAATGATTCCTATCTCATTTTCCTTAAATCTTATGAATTTATATGTCAGTCTCTTTTTACTGTCGCTTATTCGTTTCATCGACTTTCAAATCACAACGATGCTAAACAAGTTTTTACTTCAATATGAATATATTAGCGCACACTCATACTTGCTCCGCTGGTTTGGCCTACCTACGAAACAAGAAACTTCCACCGGTCCCTGTCCTGTACCATGTCCTGCCAGTAGCTAGCTTTCAGCTATTATAGCAAATCCTACTCTGTCCATCCACAGTCCTATTCAACGAAGTGTGCTTCCTTCACTGCACGATTTTGGCACATACGCTCAAAGTGCATCAGCCACAGTAGCAAAAATATGATTTGCCTGAATTCTTTTGCACATAAATATAATTATTGGCATGTCAGCTTTAAAGAGATAATACATATTTTAATACACAAAATTTTTTCAGAATGCTAGAACCATATCAACCTAAGTTTCAACAACAACATCGGCAAAGCTGTGTTCTCGCCGAAAACACTATCACCGTACCACCACTTGTAAGTTGTACTACTAAACCGTCTTTAAACTGGCGAGATTAAATAAAAAATATAATAAGTAGCGACATCTACAGAGGGGTCGCTACTTATGGTCGCTATAGTAGATATTTATATTTTATTTTATTTTTATAAATTATATGTTGGGACTATACATTAGAATCCTTAAGTGGATAGAGTGGGCGAGAATCCTCCCTTTTCCAAGTCGGAGGAAGTGCAATCGTTTCCTCTTTATATATAACTTATATAAAAATAATTTAATTATTATTATTATAGTTAGAGGATACGATTTTCTTACTAAAAACAAAATTCTTCTAGTGTAAGGACTCAGTCTTTAATCACGCGTTACCTTCACTTAGGGCTTGCGGTTCTACGTAACCTCTTATTCTTTACAACCCTTTTGTGATATTGCATAGTACATAACGTGATTTTCTCTTAATTAACAGCATAGAGCATCACTGTCGAGAGGCTGTGTTTCATACGACTGCGGTGGAGCCTTTTCCGCTTATCAGCCCTGTGGTTACCTTTCCCATCGGCCTAGACAGGTATGTTAACCGATTATTACAAAATAGTTCTAATATACGCTAAAAAATTAAGGACAAAGCTGTCTTAAATTATTAAAATATTGTTAAGTATTTATTTGCCGACAAAATTTCAAAGGACCAACACAAGCTGTCGGAACAAAATATGGTAGTAATTTGAACAATGACAAACTGCAAACTGAATTATGTAAGAAGAACCCATACTGAAAAAGTACTGTGGAGAATAATTCTGGATAGGGCAATTATATGGTCATCTATATCTATACTAATATTATAAAGAGGAAAGATTTGTATGTAAGTATGTTTGTAACGAATTGGCTCAAAAAGTACTGCCTTACGATTCTGTAACTCACTTTTCGAACTCACACGGCGGTTTTCACAGCGGATGTCGCGCTCAAATCAATCGTAAAGCAGTCATAAAAGTGAGTTACAGAATCGCAAGGCTGGACCGATTTTAAAAATTCTTACACCATTCGAATGCTACATTATCACTGATTAATATAGATAATATGCTTTAATTGCAAAAAAATGATACAAAACTACATTAATGTTAGCAAAGGTGTAAAAAATATGCGTATAACATATCTGCCATCGCATGCGCTGCGAAAACTATTGATGATAGAACAAAAAAATGTTCCACAATATTAAAGAACATATACAAAAAATGTCCCACGATAGCATGTGTCTAACTCTTGTCTATTATAAGGCAACTTACATGCCATCATCTTTCCAGAACTCCGTCTTCGTCGGCAGCATGGGCGGTATGGCTCTCATACCAGAAAGTCCACCACGCAGATCGCGGTCCGCTGCGGATCTTCCAGCCTTAACCACACCCTCAGACCACGTTCCTACCACGTCCAGGTCATCTAGGGCCGCCAGCCTTCACACTGTTGACCTAAGAGTGCGTGTACCCTCACCTCGCGCTTCAAGAGCTGGCAGTCTGCATTCAGCAGACATTCCAACTGTACAAGTACACGTTAGAGGCTCTAGTACTAATATCAATAGACCTAGGAGTCCTAGACGACTAACCATTACTAATGTCTAGAATTGTATTATAATGTAACGGACCAATTCATTTATGTATGCACTGTGGAAATGAAGCTTTATTTTTCTATAAAACAAATTCTAAATTTAAGATTATTAAGTCTTTCAAGTAGAGTAGCGTCCTTATATCTTTCTCCATATCCAATTATATATACTATATAATTATTCTAAGGATCAGAACTTTATTTTATTCTAAACTAGGGATGCTCGATGATCATCGATGTTAACTGAATCGAACATCGATGTTAGCTCACGGCCTCCCGCACGACCAATGCAACGTACGAAACAAATTATGTCTTCTGTGAACGCAACCACAAATCAGGTTTATTCAAATTTTGAACGCGTATTCATTCTTTGCACCCAGGTCGTTCCCTTCATTCGTTCTTCGATGTCTCGTTCGCTCTTTATCTCACTACTGACTACTCTTTATCAACAAAGTAATAGAGTCAAAGGTTTCTTAATAAATTTCGAACCATTTACCTTTATTTTATTTCTTTGTAAATAATTAATGCAAACTTTTTGCATCGGTTTCGGTTTTCGATAAATATCGAACATCGATGTTGGGCTTTAGATTTTGACATCGATGTCAATATCGATGTTTTTCTAACATCGATCATCCCTATTCTAAATTTATTATATATCATAATTATCATTAGTACCTTTAATCGTCCTCTTGATACATATAAGAGACACGCATAGTTATTCCTTCATTGATTATACTTAGGTTAACGTAACTAAGCTTGTAACGATTCAGTACCAATTCCCTTTATATGGCCTCCATAAAATACGCCTTTTACGCTTCCACTCTCGATCTTACACATTACATCAATATAGAGAAATTCCCTTGAGATGTACAAATGAAATCGGGCAATTTGACAGCATGGTCACGTATGATAGTGTAAATAATGGATGGATAATTCCATTAGTTAAAACATTAAAGCAATTGGTTCGACATTCGCGTGTTTTACTTTAAAATCAAGATGTATGACGTCATAATGAACTATAGGAGACTTTAGTGATTAATTGAATGAATTTCATGTGTTACAACGAACATATGCGTCAATTTAATGAACAAAGAAATCACTATGATTGATTTGTTATTATTAATATTAGTTATGAAGTATTTGGACCAATTTACCTTGTCTTATACGAATCTCGTGACAAAAAGTGCAAAATGCTTACGCAATGAACAGCCCGCCATTTTTTCTTTCAAAGCAATATGACGCTGTCAAATTGAAAGATGACGGATTGAACGACGGACTCCGCCATATTTTATTTACTTTAATCTGTGAGGCCTATACCTTAATATTTAATAATTTAAAACTCTTTAGCCCTATCAAAATCGTCCTTATCTTATTCTTCGATGTCACACTGTTTTGTTTATATTTAAGTGGAACAAACAAGTATTGCTCAATATTAATTTCTTTCAAAAGGCTAACTTATTTGACAGTTGAAATGTTGCTCATTTTTTTGAATATATAATTTACAACCAGCCAGGAATAACTTAAATATAAACAAAATTGTATGCACTGTAGTCTTGTCCTTGTCCTTTTATTATAATATTTAGTATAAAGGGTGACCATTCTTGCCTAATAGATAAGTATTGTTATTGCCAAAAATAACATTGTAAATACTATTGTATTGTCATAGTAATAAAATAATTTAGAAATACCGTAGTTTGATTTTTACCATGTTCCTTGGGAGGTCGAAAACAGTATAAAATTACTGTTACATTACGTATTTATTTATTAAAATACACCTTAAGCTGCGTATACATTAAGGGCCGAAACACATAAGCGCGTTGCGGCGCCGCGCCGCTGAAATCGGCAGTGCGCTATAGCGGTGCGGCGCCGCAACGCACGACGTGAATTCCAGCGTTATGACGTCATACTTGTTGACAATGATGCAGTTTGTTTCTAACACTCTTGCAAACAACACGTGTCAACCGAGAAGCAGTTTTAAAATTAAAATGTCTGACGTTGACGTCGATCTGTTTATATCTTCGGTTCAGGAACACCGTTGTTTGTGGGATACTAGTGACGAAACCTATAAAGACAAATTTATAAAACAAGAAGCATGGAAAAGCATTTGTGAGATCGTTTATGTTGATTACAAGGAAAAAAACTCAACCGAAAAATCAAAACTGGGTAAGTAGTAACATATAGTCTTAGGCAATGATATTTTAAACTAAAGATAAGTTATGTTCATAGTAATTTACGTTTTAAATCTGTTCCTGTGTTTAAATCATTACCTCCCAGCAATCCAAAACTGCACACATTTGCAAGTTTTACTGATAAGCAAACCAAAAGATATGAAATAAAACGCAATTGAAAGAGATAGCTATAATTTTAATGGTTGCACTTCAAACGTTTCTTGTGCATAGAGTAACATTTATAGTCGTAGAGTGGACACTTGATTCAAAACTATATTCATATTTTGTTTAATTGCCAACTTAGGGCGCCAACATCACTGGAAAAGTAATTACAAAAATCATTCCGTATTAGATGTGGGCTTAAATTATTTTCATTTGCTGTGGGCAAATGCAACATTTGCAGATCAGAATCATCAAAGATAATGTCATCGGTCGCTTGTACTCCATCTCGATTCAAAACAAAGTTGTGCATTACACAACATGCCTTGATAATGTCTGTCGCAAATTCGTATTGCACATTCATAGATCGATGAAATATGCGCCATTTATTGGCTAGGATGCCAAAAGCGCACTCGACATATCTTCGGGCACGACTCAGTCGATAATTGTAAACTCTTTGTTGTACCGACAAATGTTTTCCTGAGTAAGGGCGCATGACGTTATTCGAAATTGAGAATGCTTCATCTCCTACAAAAACAAATGGAGTTTCATTTTGAGAACCTGGTCAGCTACTTCCTATGTTTCACAAGATGAGGAGTTTGATTTTTCTTAAATTGATCATTACATTTTTTAAGGCCTATTAAAGTATTCTTAAAGTAGGAAAATTGTATAATGCAAAAAGCTTAATTTGATTCTGTCTTGTTTCATTTGAACCTGGCTTTGTACCACTAGGTACCCCCAAACCATGAACACTAGTGATGCAAAATTTTTATCGACACCCCGCTAGTACCACAGGTGTATAAAGCCAGGGGTACAAATAAAACTAAACATTTGATTCCGAGTGCCATAAACATCAATAAAAAAAAATAAGAAACCTATTTGTTTTACCTTAAAGTTAAGCCCAGCATTTCCAAAGCAGTAACTGGTTTTCTTCCTTTATTTTTTTTCTTCTGTATATATTTTGATAACTCGCTTAATAGCTCTTCAAATGATGATATACTCATTCTAAAGTAGGCAACAAATTTTTTTTCGTCTATCTTTAATGCTTCGTATTTTTTAGAAAAGAACTCGCCATTTGGATTCATACCCTTACTTAATGGATGTATCCAGTATCTTCTTTGCCGTATTTTTAAGATAGAATAATGTCTTCTTAATAACAAATAAGCAATAAGTTTATTACGATCCATCGCAGAGAGACGTCTATCCACACTCAAAAATCACGAGAAAATGGTTGCCCTACCATAATGCCCTGTTTCGCGACGCCGCAACGCGGCAACGCAACTGCCGATTTTGGCGTTGCGGCGCCGCAAAAATAAGCAGTTTGCGTTATGTGTTTCGGCCCTAAGCGCGGCAAACCATCGAACATTGGCGCGCGCGGCGGCCGCGCTCTATGTAGACGGGGTCGCCGCGCGCGGCGACTCGAACATTGCCGCGCTCGAACGTGCCGCGGGTCGATCCGCTCGCTGTCGGTTTTTGAGACCGCATCAAAGGAGCTTCAGTCGTTGGCTCGCGCGCAGTTGGGACGGTTATAGTTATGGTGATTTGGCTCGCGCGGCGAATACGTAAATAAGGGTGCGTGTACTTATGCACGCGCGTAAGAAGTTATACTTCTCTGGCATTATTAAAAATAGTTTTTGATTGCATGCAAATAATTAATTACAATTAAATAATCAAAGACTGGAAAAGGAGTCATTATAGTCAATAAAGTTCAGTTTACATTTGAAAAATTAAATAAATAATTATATTTATTTTTCTTTTATTTTTTTTACAAATAAGATGGTGAATCACAATGAAAGCGGCAGCCGCCCGACCACGCGCGTCCATACTCGCAGGTTTACAAGAGTGAACTGGTCTGACTATCTGCCGCGGTCTGTTTGTGATCGATCGCCTGCCGCGCGCGGCAGTCACGTCCAACTAAATTTACATCTTCATATTGGCTCGCGCGGCAAATGAAGGTCAACTCTGGTCGAACATTGGCTCGCGCGGCTGCCGCGCTTAATTTATACGCAGCTTTAGCAGGGCAATCATCTTTAACTTAAAGTTAAAGCTTTATACTTATACTTTATATATTATAAATTACTGTATAACGAAAAAGTTTTTCATTCAATCTAAAATCACACACAGTCATATTCTACTTCAACAACAAATCATTTGTCTCTCTCTCTATTAAATTGGAAACACAATTGGATGAGATGGAAAAGAGACAATACAGTGATTGTACTGTAGATTAATTTACCATCATAGACTGACTTAGTTTTTGTGAATAACTGTCAGTATAATATGTCTTTAGACTGGGTTCGATTTTCTAAATCTTTTTTTTAACAGTATGGAATTAAAGTGATTTTATTATTATTATGTCCTAAAATCGACGGCCTTTGTCAGCTGTGAGATACTTACTTGCCTATATAGACAAGGCTAGACGCAGGAAATCATAATCTTTAAGTGATGAGGTACATGGTATTATATTATGCCTTCCTATACGGACAGAGAAATTGCCTAATTTGAAAAATCGTGGCAGAAAGTTAATACTGTCGGACGTCAACTTTACGTTCACAGCTGCGGCCGTGTATGAGGGAAAATTGTTCATTTATTTTAGCTAACTAAAGTTATCCGACCTACATTTTGTTAAATAGTACCGCTTCAATAAACCCCTGTTGATATATTTGATTGTGATTAATTCGTTCTAGTTA